GTTTTCAATCGTCAAGCGACGATTGTTTAAACACCTCTCAATCTTCAAAATTTCTCCTTCTATAAGCGAGTAATAAACCTCCCTGGTCTTTTTCTTGTTTTTTTTGTTGGTTTGTTCTTGTCAATATTATATGCGCCAACACAAACGTCGAACAACTAACCCTTTCTTTTTGATAATACGACATTTCTATATAAAAATAACTTTTTTGCCCGAAATTAACTCATGTTCTTATTAACATTTGTGGCACACAATCCGTCGACACGGTACACCCCTATTTCATGATGGCCCCCCCGGGACCCCACAGTGTGATGGACGTCATGGTTGACACCGGTGGAGAACAACATAACGGAGAGACGTCTAGACTTAGTGCACTCTCGACCTAAAGTCTAGTTCGGGGGGTGACATAGTACAGTGTCAACCCTCCCGATTTTCACGGGAGACTCCCGATTTCATTGCCCTCTCCCGGTTTCCTCCCGGGGTCATATTTCTCCCACATTTCTCCCGATTTCTGACTAAATCTGATTTACACACGACTGTTTCCACTCGGACTTTAATACAGCTACACCATTGTTTGGTTTCCATAACACTCTTTCCTGTAAAATACAGGTCCAGCCAACACATATGCTCCATCAAGGACGGTGCTACAGGTCGCAAGGCAGTGCACTTAGTTACAACTACAATAAGCATGTTAATGTTAATCTAACAGCTCCGGCGATCCACTAGCACCCCCCCCCATTTTAATTTTGAAATGCTCCCGATTTCTGAGGTCTAAAGGTTGGCAAGTATGTTTGTTGGTCTGCTTTTTGGTGCTGACTAGGTAGTGTACAGTGTGTGCATCAGAGAAATATTGCATTATTAATATTAAAATATTGATAAGGGCAATACAGTAGGCCTACATCCCGCAACTTCACAAATATGGTTGAGTCTTACAGCTCTCATAGACCTTGCTTCTTGCTGTAGAGGGCAGCTATTTTTTGGTTAATCTCTATATAAAAAACACTGTGTAGCAAACACACACATTTAAAGAAAAGCTTGTTGGGAAAGTGAAGCTTTTTAACTGATATTCCTCTAAAGTGTTGGTGGAGACCAAAACAGAGCTCGAAGTAACAATTCATAATCATGTTTCCAGCTTGTTCTGCTGCCCCAAGTGGCCAAACAAGGGACTGTTTGCTCCCAGTGAGCAACATGTCTTTGAACACATCATCAAGTTACTTTTATGTATTCTGTGTAAATGCTTCACAAAATGATACCCGGGGACTGAGCAGATTAATCTGGACATTATCATACAAATCATCTAACAATGTTTATGTGCAAGACTAAAGAGGCAGGTTGTTTAGTATTTACAATGTGATAGCAGCAACATGTTAGTTTCTAGTGCCATGTTTAAGTAGTTAACATGGTTGTTTCTACAGTCATAACTGTACGATTGTATGGCAGAGTTGTGTGTGTTATACAGTTCATTCTGTTTACTAAATATACACATCAGATATTTACACAACAAGGCACATTTTCTCCCGAGTTTCCTTAGCACAATAACTCGGGGTGTTTTATGAAACGACCCCCGCCATTAAGAAAGAAACTCAAGTTGTGTTTAATTATAGTTAATATTGTAAAGATGGATGTATATTTTGTCGAAGTGAATATGTTTGTGTGTAATGAAGTTAGCCAGGGAGTACTCGGGGTTCGATCTTCAGCGAGAGATCATAGAGGGTATCTTCATCCATCACTAGTGTCTTGTCCAGGAGGAACTGAGTCACCTGGAGGAAGTCAGAAAAGACCAAATATTTTGTATTATTCGTTCAAAAAACACAAATGTTATGTTTCATAAGTAATGCATTTTATTAAACTCACCTTGGGCTGGTGCTCTATCCTGTAAGGTGATTGCTGAAACTGACGAATCTCCCGGATAATATGAGAAATCTGAAAGAGTAGAGAGTTAATAGACAACTAAAATGGACTGTTTGCTAAGCCCTTAATTGCTTTTGCTATGCCTGTCAAGATCGCAGTGTATAACTGCGACCTATTTAACATCGTAATGCCTTTTTAATCAAATAAAATAAATAAAATTGAGCGTTATATTTTTAAGCAGTGGTACACAAAAGCAGCTCCTTATTTCTAGCACACAAACTTTCATTTTGCAGTTGTTGCAGCAGACAGATTTAATCAACTTTAGCCAGCTAGCTTTTAAGCTAATTTAAGCGTCACTGAGTTGCCTTAAAATGCCACTGTCTGTTTTTTAAGAAGAACCCTTTAAATCGATCCAAAATATATTTTTCAAACAATAGGTCTCTGCTCCCAGAGAGACGTAGACATAAGCAATGTTTACAACAAAGTATTTCAATGTGACCCCCAAACTAATACTAAAACTAAAAATACTTAGTTAATGCTGTGCTCCTTGGCTTACTGTATGTAAGCTTGTTAGCCTCACAAGCTAACGATTACTGATTATAAAACACACAGTTTGTAAAGCCTTTTGTTCAGGGTAAGGCTTGAAGAATGATTATAAAAGAAGAGGAGCAAGGAAATAATTGCATTCCTTACCATCCTCATTTTGGAGAAGTTAACCAGGCCTTCCTCTGTGAAGTTGGGTGTTCCCTCCTCAATGAAAGCCAGGTCAGTGAGGTACATGCCCAGGTACGGGACACATGGAGGGTTACAGCTACACACACATCACAAACATGAAAAAGTTATTAAAAAAAGGGACTGTATTCAGACACTAATATGTCTGGTTGATAAGCAATATTTACTTTTTCAGTGTCTCTCTGAGATTCTTGAACCGTCCTTCCGTTGACACAGTCTTCTGCAGCCTGTCCATGAGCGCCTTTGTCTAAAAACACAAATAAATCATAAAGGTTTTGTGCAGAGAGAGTAGGTTTATTTTTAAACAACAATGAAATAGTTCCAACCTGTTTGCAGACTTTGGCCCAGGTCTTCTTCAGCCTGTAGATGGGGCTGCGGTTCAGAGCCGAGGTGATCTCCAGCACGCCGTTGTAGTTGTTGAGGCAGCGGCAGATATCGGCCACTGCCAGCCACTTCTCTATGGAGTTAGCTCGGGAGCCAACGTCAGTGTGGGCCATGATCTGAGACGCCACCAGGTTACTCATCTGAGGACAGAGGGTGAGAGGAACACTTCTATTTCACTGACAAAAAGAAGCCAACAATTGTTCAATTTCTGCATTACAATAAAGAAAAAACCCGAAATGAATTGTCCTTTAATATGCCGATTATTATTTCACTAAACCTTTTAAGAATTTGGCTTTAAAATCTCAGCAAATCTTCTAAATGGCTGTTACAATGTCCTTACAATGTCCTCAATGTCCGCAACAGTGAGATCCACCAACATATTCAAATGTCAGGATATATAACAAACAAAAACATCAAATACTACCATTTGAAAAAGTGGAACCAATTTAAAAAGATCATTTTTTGCTGAAAAATATTAAAATGCAAAATAAAATATCAACATAGCTGCTTTACTTTTGTGTCAATATACCTTTGGTTATTTTGCAGAATTTAAAGGAAAAAACCCTGTTTAGTCTTACATCATTAAAATGCTGGCTGGTCTTCATGATGTACGGAGTCCTCTCTGTTTTGTCGACCTTCATCCAGCCCTGACCGAGGAACTCCCTGCAGATCACAGTACAGTCAGACACACTGTATTTTTGGTTTGACATGTGTTAACTCTACACATCATCATACAAATATTCTGTAATCTTGTACACTATTTAGTAATAGTTCAAATGATGTCCAACTCAACCAAGTACAGCAATAAAATATGCTTTAATTACATTTCTTATGTAGTAAGTCATTACATTTGATTTACTATTGGAAAAAGTATTCTCCGTATGTATCTAATCGAATTATCATGTTCAGATGACCTGATGTGAACTGGTTAATATAGTATACTACCAACTGAGCCCAGTATTGCAGTAACAAATAGCAGTTATTTCTAGATAACCCTAGAGGATATGATTTGAAAAAATACAAACATACCAAATTATCCTTTTGAAATATGTTGTTTTAAGCAACGTTTGTACTCTCTGTATGATGTACTCACTCGTAGGGAATACTCCTGAACACGATGTGATCCAGCATTGTGATCTGCTCTGCAAGCTCCATGGCCGAGAGGGACTCAAAACACTCCGCTTTAGGACTCTCGGCCTGGAACACACACAAACTATTTGTAGTCCAGACCTAATAGTAGTTTGGAATAACTACTGTACTAGTACACTACGTTACCTCCACATACTGGGAATGCACCTATAACTCAATTCACCACGATGCAAAGAAACTACACTACAGCTAACTGTATGATTATCAGAGGTGGGAGTAAGTCCTACATGTGCAAGTCATGAGCAAGTCTCAAGTCTTGACCTACAAGTCTCAAGCAAGTCCCAAGTCACTGTGGTGAGAGTCAAGCAAGTCAAGTCATTGCTCGGGTCAAGCAAGTCACAAGTCAAGTCATACGAAATTCTGATGAGTAACCCCAGTTTCCGCATTTAAATCAGTTAAAAATATTGTGGTTATGAAAAGTTTTGTTTTATTTTCAACATAAACAGCAATGGAGAGTAGGGCGCTGAAATGATAACCCGATAAGTACTAAAAGGGCTCTAAAGTGAAAACAGGAGTACAACACAAATATGTTACATTAACATGTTAAGCCTCCTGCCCTGGCTCCCCTTCAGCAGGTTCACAGCATTTATCTATGGTCTGTCTGTGTGTGTGTGTGTGTGTGTGTGTGTGTGTGTGTGTGTGTGTGTGTGTGTGTGTGTGNATGCTCTGTTTTCGCTGTCTACCTTCCGCCATTTGAAATTACTCCGACTGTTTCTCTCCTCTTGTCTCGTCTCTGTGTGTGTGTGTTTGAATCTATCGTGCTGACACGATAGATTCAAACACACACACACAGAGACGAGACAAGAGGAGAGAAACAGTCGGAGTAATTTCAAATGGCGGAAGGTAGACAGCGAAAACAGAGCATTTAATTACATTTTCTCTTACTGGACCTCTTTCAAATGCAATTGAATACCCCTGCATTATAGCAACAACAACAATAATAATAATAATAATAATAATAACAGCAATAATAATTGGGAGGGGGGGCGCGGCTGTTCTTATGTTCTCTGAGGGGAGGCTCACCTACCCACACTTTAAAACCCCCTGCCCTAGAGCAAAGCCATTAAGCAGTGCTGAATATAAAATGATGATTAATACAACCACTTTGACGTTTTTGCTTTAAATACAATGTAGATATATATGATAGCGAGATAACCGATACTTGTATCAAAACAGTTTGTACCTCATTATTAACAAAGGTAGGCTTATTAGATCTGTGAATTGACATTTCTGTATAAGTGGAGCGCGGTGTGTTGCCAGTTCTGTATCTGCAAAGTGCATACACATCTGTTCCATGTGGATTTACAATTGCCTTGCAGTCAGTACGCTGAGAACAGGTCTTACATAACAGTGGCGATTCACTCCCCTGACCCAAGTTGGCCCACACTTTTGCCTCTTCCGCAGCACAGGCATGCATGGAAAACTGTATGAAAAGGAGCAGGAACTGCCGTCTGGAGGCGAGACGGGGGAAATGATTTACAGCGCTGTGCTCTCTCCGCCGGGATAATAACTGGAACAGACCTGTGGCAGCACATGCCAACTACTTCCCACCAGTAGATACCACGACTAGCAGGCTGCAGGCTGAGATGCACTGTCTTTTTTTAAGATAGGAAGTATCAGGCAATTATAAAAATAACCCTTTCACCTTAAAGCATCTATCAGATACAATGTACATATACATGGCAGACTCATTATATTTTTCCTATAATCCATAATTATATGCAGTTTCAGTGCGTAATAGGCTTTTGTTAATTGGATTAAACTTGCATCACAGATATATGTGTCTGTCTAAAACTTGAAAAGCTGTTTTCGCTGTCCAGTATGTTGTTAAATGTACTTGTGAGCCAATACATCCCAGAAAGATCTGTTGATGTTGAAGTGTTGATGCACTACTCGAATGTTTAAGAAATGCTTGTGAGAATAATATAGAATGTGATGATGAATTAAGCTGAATGAGCCTCTAGAAATAAAGTTGTAGAGGCGAATTTGTGGAAGCAAGTCTACAGCAAAAAAATGTAAGGAGTGCTTAGCGCTAAATGCTAACATCCTAGCACTAACCACACTAAGGTTTGCAGTGCTTTGTTTAACATGTTCATTATTTTAGTTTAGCATGTTAGCATGCTGATATTTGCTATTTGGCAGAAACCACAAAATGCAGCTGAGGCTGACAAAATGTCTGTAGTTTTGGAGGTTATTCATAAACCAAAGGAGTGATTTAAGAAACAGACTTTGGCAAAGGTCCTTCAAATATAATTGTTCTCCATAATTCCAGCAGCACTGAAACTGTCAGCAAGGATAATCATTTATAAACAGAAAACTGATCTAGAATCTTAGTTAATCCAAAAGAAGAGCCCTATGCAGTCTATCTTTAATCTCACAACGACTGGTTTTGAAGATGTGCGAGTGTGAAGTGTGTGAGCAAAACTCAGTAATCCTGTCCCTGCTATCCCAGGGGCGGCCGCGGACAGCAGGTCTGGGTACAGTGGCAGGGAGACAATAGTGGCAGTACAAGGCAGACAGCTAGGTTTCAACCCCCTCTCTCCCCAGCTGCCCCCACCAACATGGCTTTGTTCCGACTGCAGCAGACCCAGGGTTTCCCCACCCTCTGACATCACTGCCCAGCTGATAGGAAGCACAAAGGATCCTGCATCTATTTATAAACCGTGAATGAGCGCTGTCCGTGATTCCGCTGCCTCAATCATCTGTGCTGGACCTTTAGGCCAAACCATAACAGCCTGAGAGGCTTTTAAAGACACACAGTGACTCTGGTTTTTGAAGTCCAATTTGAAATGTTTTTCTTTTGTTTTGTTTTCAAATAACTAATCTGTATGCCTCAAGCAGGGTTGTAGTGGTGGGTAAATGTATGCAAATGCTGTTTACCCACCTTACAAATTGTTATAGCATTTACAAATAATTCTCATTCAAAATGATTATTTTGTTTGTATACGTACAAAGGAGGAAATACAGCAAAACAAATATTCGGGTTTATAAATCACAGGCCTGCCAATGGCCAGTTTAGTGAATAAATCCCCAAACCTTGTGAATGTTTGTGAATAGAAATTAAACTGTTGATTGTTGGTTCTTTAAGGTGTATCACAGCAAGAAAATAACTTTTCCTTTCACGTACTCTTTGCAGTTTTTCCATCATCCAGCATTTCTCATCACACTGCAGTGTTTATATTGAAATAGCCATCACAATGATGGATTCACACCTTGCAAAAATGATTGCAACAATCAATAAATTCCCATACAGTACGCTGTACAGATGTAAAACTAGATGAGGCAAGTTTTTAGTTTGTGACATTGGGGGTGTTTCACAATGTCGAGTACGCTTGCTTGGTAGCCATACATGCCAACCTTTAGACCTCAGAAATCGGGAGCATTTCAAAATGCAAAATGGGGGGGGTGCTAGTGGATCGCCGGAGCTGTTAGATAAACATTAACATGCTTATTGTAGTTGTAACTAAGTGCACTGCCTTGCGGCCTGTAGCACCGTCCTTGATGGAGCATATGTGTGGGCTGGACCTGTATTTTACAGGAAAGGAGTGAGCAGAGAGTAGAGTAGTTGTCGATTCTTGTTCTGTTTTCTGTGAATATCTGCCTCACCCTCTCAGACTTTGAGTTGCGCGCGCTACTGAAGAGACGTGTTACCATGGAAACCAAACAATGGTGTAGCTGTATTAAAGTCCGAGTGGAAACAGTCGTGTGTGAATCAGATTTTGTCAGAAATCGGGAGAAATGCGGGAGAAATATGACCCCGGGAGGAAACCGGGAGAGGGGAATGAAATCGGGAGTCTCCCGCGAAAATCGGGAGGGTTGACAAGTATGTTGGCGCTGAGGACTCAATGCCCCACTAGAAAACAAGCTAAACAACCAAACACAGAAATGCACTGCAAATATAGAATACCCAACTGAAAAGTACAAACAAAAAAACCATACAAGCAGTGCTAAAGAAACCTTGCTAGTTGCAAATGACTCAAAAGTTACAAAACAAGCAAAAAACCTGCCAACACATCTAGATAGTCATCTTTGATTTGCAGAAACTGTCAAACTCTCACATTTTCTAACATGCTACCCAATGACCTGACTTAAATTGAACCATTTCACTAAAGTTCCTGAATCCAACGTTAGCGTGCAATGGTCTGACTCCTTGAGTTAAGTCTATATCTGTCAATTTTGTTGGAAAATGAGGACTGGCAAATATCTGCGGTATCTAATGTTTTACAACCAGAATGTTACATTTCATTTCAATACTGATGGGATGCCATCCTCACTACATGAGCCATTAATGAAGTCATGTGTTGGGCATGTCTTTTTGTTTAAGTGTCCTCTGCAATAACAATTTGTTCTGCATCTAAAGGTTTTTTTTACGGTATTTGCATTTTTCTTAGTTATTTGGTTGCCGTCTTTATTTATACGTTCCGTAAGGCCTTGTGGTTTTTGTCAAACTAGTTCTATTTAGATTTATTTTTGGAAGTTTCCCTGTGTAGAGCTCTAGGGGTCAGAGAGAGAGAGAGAGAGAGAGAGAGAGAGAGAGAGAGAGAGAGAGAGAGTGTGTGTGTGTGTGTGTGTGTGTGTGTGTGTGTGTGTGTGTGTGTGTGTGTGTGTGTGTGTGTGTGTGTGTGAATAAACGTGTAAGTGGAAAATATCAAGGTCAGACAGGAGGGTGATATCGGACCCTCTGTGGTCATGCTTAATCGTAGCTCAACTTGATCGGTCTGTGCCGGNCAAGACTGATACCATCAAAAAAACAAATGATCACACACGTAGACTCTTTATAACGTATAATATTATAATTTATAACATAATTCCCGTTATGTCATACCGGATGTAGGCGTTAAAGTGTTTATACCAACTCAAATCTCATCTAAACACAGAGGGATGATTTGTTTTGACTCTACCGTAATGCATAGGATATTCGCGCACCGCAATATCACGTGCGGGCTGGCTTGACTAGGTTTTCCCGAGTGGAGGCTGGCTTGACCGCAGTCAGAGAGTAGAGTTGTTGTCGATTCTTGTTCTGTTTTCTGTGACTATCTGCCTCACCCTCTCAGACTTTCAGTTGTGCGCTACTAAAGAGACGTGTTACCATGGAAACCAAACAATGGTGTAGCTGTATTAAAGTTTGAGTGGAAACAGTCCTGAGTAAATCTGATTTTGTCAGAAATCGGGAGAAATGCGGGAGAAAAATGACCCCGGGAGGAAACCGGGAGAGGGCAATGAAATCGGGAGTCTCCCGTGAAAATCGGGAGGGTTGACAAGTATGCCAACAAAGTTAGCAGTTCGCTGCTAACAAATTGTGGAGAGTTAAGAAGTTAAAGAGGAAGATATTTCGCTCATTATTTGGAGACCAGAAAAAGAACAAAAAAACAACCAAACAGAACAGTTATAATATATCGCGGTTGTGTTTGCAGCTTGTTGATTGGAAAGAAAAACTATTATTGCTGCTTAAAGATATATTTTTATTGAACAAAACGGCTTAAATTGAGTACAAAGAATAATTTGTAACACTGTAGTGTTTTAAGGCAGCTTGCATGTGGGGATAAAGTACTACCGGGGGGCCCTGTGGGTGTCACACTACCTGCAGTACCAACTGTGGCCACCTCTGTGATATTGCCTCTCTGGCCAGATCTGATCACAGTGAGAGCTGATTTCAGATCAAGGCCCCCACTGTATCATGTCAGTTTATATTAAGCTTTAATATTGCGTATACCAAAAAGATAAGTAATTAAATTGCCAGAGACCAAAATCCCCACAGTAAACCTCGGGTATTGGAGGCTCGAGGTGCACCGCTCTGGGGAATTTCCACTTGACCTGGTTGGTAGGTCAGCTTTCTGCATATGTCTGGAGTACAGTTAAAATATGTGTATCTTAAACTTACTGTCTCGCCTGTATCTTGGTGACGTTGAGCTCACAGGGGATGACGGAGCATTTTCTTATCATTGCTCATCCGTTAAGGTTTATATTGTTGCCACTTTATTGCATTTGCATTTTACAGCAAAACTCTTTGTAGTTTACACACATTCCAAATCTGAAAATGTACTGCAAATGTCATATTTATTCATATGTTTGACAATCAAAACCTGTTTCAAATCATATTTCTTCAGTTTTGTAATATTAGTGATTTTGTGCACAAATCTTTCTGATTTTGAATAATCACATTCCTGCTCTTGTCACCAGTATCAGCCTGAAAGGTTTCTTACATGATACAAAGCCCCTACAGTTACATTTTATTTTATGTGTACCATTTTCTTTTATAATTCCATGTCAATGTGATCTTGAAATCATATTCATAATTTAAACCTTGTGGACTGTTTTAGTAAAATAGGAATAGCTTTCACTATGGATTTCTTATGAATGTCAATAGACTCTAAACTTGTTTATAGCATGATTATAGCACAATGTCCTTTGTGTCCTTGGGATTACTGTTATCCTTATTGTTGACTCTTACTGAGTTTTAGATTTATTCATTTATTTTGGCTATTTCCTGATGTCAGGAATCTTCAAAATATTCGCTGCGTTAGTATTGCTTTGTTACATTGCTGTATACTTTAAATTCAAAATTTTCTGTTGTATTTTTCCATGCATTCCTCGGTTTAATGTACAGATATTTACGCACAATAAAAGCAAAAAAAGCTAATTATGTTGTTACAAATGTTTTTTATGGTGATTAAAGGGAGATATGGTTGGCGCTCATACTTGCCAACCTTTAGACCTCAGAAATCGGGAGCATTTCAAAATGCAAAATGGGGGAG